CCCCCCGTCGGCCACCCGCCGTCCGCCCCTCGTCGGCCACCCGCCCTCCGCCCCTCGTCGGCCACCCGCCGCCCCACCGTCGACCGCCTGCCCCACCAAAGGATGTGGCAGCGACTATGACTGTAGCAGTAGCAGTGACTACCCCTCTCTCTCTCTCTCTCGCAAGGAGCCAACCGAAACATGCTGTCCTTCCTCCATGATATCCCGCTTGTGGGTTCTGCCTATGCCTGGTTCTTGGTCCTTCTGGCTGCTGCCTCCTACGTCTCGTTCTACACCTACGTGGGTATGTCCAACCAGCCACCCTCTTCCGTGCTACCCCCTCCCCCCCCCCGGGGCTGGCCTGTGCTGTAGACACTACACCACAGGCCACCAGTCCACCCATCATCCATCACATACCACCACTCACTCTATCTCCTTCCCCCCTTCCCCCCCCCTCTCCCCCCCTCTCCCCCCTCTGCAGTGCCTTTCTTCATTCAGGCCTTCCTCCTCAACGAGCAGAACCTCAAGGTACGACACACCCTCTCCTCCCTCATCCCCTCATCCCCCCCTCTCTCTCCCTCCCTCCTTCCTCCCTCTTTCCTCCCCTATCTATCTATCATCCTCACCCTCTCATCGAAATATGCGCAGAACAAGTACGATGCCAAGTGGGCGGTGGTGACCGGTGCGTCGTCGGGCATCGGCCGGGCGCTGACCGAGAAGCTGGCGTCGCAGGGCGTGTCTGTGGTCATGGTGGCGCTGGATGACCAGCTGCTCGAGTCGTTCCATGCTGACATGTGCTCGCAGTATGCAGACGTGGCCGATGTGGAGTTCCGCAAGGTTGGCGTCAACCTCGGCTCGTCGGGTTACCTCCAGGTCATTGCCGAGGCCACCGAAGACATTCCGGTCCAGCTGGTGTTCAACAATGCCGGGTTCGTCATCACTGGCCTCTACGCCGACGTCCCGCTCCCTGCGCAGCTGGCCAACTTTGAGTGCAACGCCGCGGCGCCAATCCACATCACCCACCTCTTTGTCAACCGCATGCTCAACCAAGGCCTCCGCGGCGCCGTCTGCTTCACCTCATCGCCGGCCGGCCTCATGCCCGCCCCGCTCACCGTCATGTACTCGGCGACCAAGTCGTTCCTCACCACCTTTGCCGCCTCGCTCGCTCCCGAGATCAAGCCCGACGGCATCGACGTCCTTGTTGTCCACCCGTCGCCGGTTGACACTCGGTTCTACGAGGGCAACACCCACGATCTCGACGCCATGCGCGCCTTCCAGAAGACTGCCTACCCGCCGACCACCATTGCCGCCTGCTTCTTCAAGTCGCTCGGCCGCTTTGTCATCCACGACCAGGGCTACTTTTCGCTCTCGCTCCGCATGCTGATGAAGACCGTCGACTACAACTTCCTCGCCCTTGTCTTCTCGCGCACCGCCTCTATCTCGGGCGACTACACCAAGACCAAGAAGGATCGCCCGCTGCCTGATGACAACTCTGGTGGCCTTGTCACTCCGCGCCGCTCCCGCTCGGTCTCGGCTGTCTCGGCGGCCGACTCGGTCTCGCGCTCGGTCTCGCGCTCGGTCTCGCGCTCGGTCTCAGTCGCAAACCGCCGCCGCTGATCACTGTCTTGCCTAAGTCTGTAGAAATCACGATGGCCAGCGCGTGCAAGGGACACAGAGTACACAGCTAGAGTCTCTCCCGCTTTTTTCTCCCCTTTCTCCAACCCAGTACCTCCATCAGCCAACACCGACCGCTGGGTCAGCCAAGTGAGCGGTCGTCCGACGGGCTGCGGTCTGATCACGGCAGCCGAGTGTGAAGGGCCAGGGAGGCAGAGGGCGGGGCGGGGCGGGGGGGGAGACGAACTGGAAAAACACATCTCTGCCCAGCCGAGCTGACAACCCCACGGGTAGAGAGCATGGCGGATGACGTGCAACTGTACGAGGGGGCGGAGAAGACGCTGCGTGTGCTGTTTGGCAGCTCTGGCGTCCTTCGTGAACAATCGCCGTGTCATCCTCCGACTCATGGAGCCGGGCCACGAGGAGACGGGCATGGCCTTAGCGGAAGCGAGAGCGGACGGGAGACGCTGGTGGATGTGACCCGAACGCAATGGGCTCAGTTGCTTGAGCCGACAGGTTGCACCATCCTCTCCGAGCTCCGCACCTCGGCTGCCTGTGCGTATGTCCTCTCCGAGTCGTCGCTCTTTGTGGCTCACGCCGAGGTCATGGTCAAGACCTGCGGCCAGTCACACCTTCTTGCCCTGCTGGCCCCGCTGCTGGAGCTGGCCCGGGGCCTAGGCCTCACTCCGCGCGCCCTCTCTTACGGCCACAAGGCTTTTGCATGCCAGGATGCACAGCCGGCGCCGTACTGCGATGCCTTTGCTGCTGAGATCGGCGAGCTTGATGCCGTCCTCGCCGCTGCATCGCCGGCTGCGGCTGCGCCGACGGCGGCTGCCTCCGTCTTTACCGGGCCCGGCGACACGTATTGGGTGTACCACGCTGCGTGGACAGCCCCTGACTCACCGGCATCCTTCACCCTGCCTGCACCGGCCGACTTTGGTGCCCTGGCCAAGCTCGAGATCATGCTCGTCAATCCCGACACCGCCGCGCTCGCCCAGTTTGACGTCGCTGCCGTCCGCGACGCTGCGCTCGCCGATCCTCTTGTGGAGCGCCCGGTCACTGCCGCCGAGCTGCTGGACATGGTGCCGCCGGCGAGGCCCGTCCCGGGGGCAGGCGCCGAGCCGGCGGTGGGCGACTCGCCGCTTGCGGGACATCTCGTCGATGCTCACGTCTTTGATCCGTGCGGCTACTCGTTCAACGCGCTTGGCGCGCCAGGTCTGGCGCGCGCCACCACTCCGTTTGCCACCGTCCATGTCACGCCCAACGCGCCAGCGCCGTATCTCTCGTTTGAGACGTCCGAGTCGAGCTTTGCCGCCGCCGCCCGCGCCTTGCCGACCATGCTTGCCAAGTGCCGGCCACAGCACGCGCTGCTGGTGGTCACCGGCGCTGGCGATGACAAGCTGGCAGGCGCCGACGCGGTCGCCTCGCTCGCTGCCCGCCACGGCTATGCTGCTTCGACAGCCAGCAACCGCCCGCTGCCGACCAAGCTTGATCGTCCCGGGGCTTGTCTCGTGGACCTGCCGGCCGTCTACCATCTCATGCCACGCCCGCAGTAGCTCGGCCTCCTCGCCTGAGAGTAACACCCTTTACGGCTTGGTCCATGATGTGGCCTTGGTCTCTGTGTTGTAGTAGTAGACCTTGCCGTCGGCAGTGTGGGCCTTCTTCCACTCGGCCTTACCCTTGCCCTTGCCCTTGCCCTTGCTCTTGCCCTTGCCCTTGCCCTTGAGCAGCGGCTGGGCCTCATTGACCGACCGGCGCGAGCGCGGTGCAGCATTAGACGACGACGACGAGTCCGAGTCGGACGAGTCCGAGTCGTCATCGTCATACAGCCTCGCCGGCTTGGACTTGGGTGGGCGCGACCTGGACTTGGACTTGGACTTGGACTTGGCCTTGGCCTTTGACTTGGCCTTGGCCTTTGAAGGGAAGTTCTCGACAAGCGGTGGTGGCACGTTTTCGGGCCCGATGCGGTTGACCTCGACCACGGTTGCAGTCTGGCCGCGCTGGTACTGCGAGATGAGCTGCATGGCAAGGAAGAAGCGCTCACGAGTAAGATCGTCACGGCGGCGAACGTCGGCCAGCCGCCACAGCTTGGTCGCGGTCGGCTGTGGAATCGACGGCAGTCGCCGCATAAACCGCGAGACCTTGATGGCTGAGACCTGATCCGGGTTGATGTCGTCGCGGCAGAGCTCAAAGAGCGACTCGAACGCAGGCGTGTAGTTGATCCCGCCCGCGGCTGCCAGCGAGCCCGACGACGGCAACGCGCCGTACTTGGAACGCATCTTGGTGTACTGCACAATCATGTACACGCCGCAGGCGCAGCCGGCCAGCGCCAGCACGCCGCCGCCAATGCCAATAAAGATGGCGCCAACGTTCGAAATCGTCGGCTTGGTCGGCGCCGGCACCGGCGAGTTGGTCGTGCTGTCTCCAGAGCTTGTCCCAGAGCTGGTCTTGGAGGTACTCGGACTTGTCGTTCCCGTGGCAGTTGTCGATGACGAACTTGACAACGTCGTTGATGACGAGCCCGTAACAGACGTCGACGATGATCCTGTGGCGGTCGTCGACGATGATCCTGTGGCGGTCGTCGACGATGATCCTGTGGCGGTCGTCGACGATGACCCCGAAAGCGTCGTCGATGACGATCCCGTGGCCGACGTTGACGAGCTCGTAACGGTTGTCGACGACGAACCCGACGAAGTCGACGACGAGCATCCGCCGGCGCAGGCGTTGCAGTGTGAGACCGAGATGGTGGTGACGCAATCCGTGGTCTCGCCGTAGACAAAGCTTGGAGCCGAGGTGACCGACTGGTCGCAGTTAAAGGTGATCTTACCAACGTTGGCCTTGCCGCACGTGCCAGACATGGCGCCATCAGGTAGGGTCATGACCACGCCATCACCCGAGGTAGCCTTGGCAAAGGTCGGCTCGTTGAGGCCAAGCTGCTTGGAGCCGCCGTCCCACTCCTGGCAGAGAGCCACGTTTGCTGGCGAGGTACACTCGGAGACGGCCAGGGCCTCACAGACCGCCAGCAGGTATGTAAACTTATCACCGTCCTTGGCCTCGTAGCCCTTACCACCGTTCTGAAAGGCTGACAGATCCACATCACCCAGGCCACAGTCTGCGCCGTCTGCCAGGCCAGCCATGGCCACGCACGTGACGACGACCACCGCCACCATGACATGCCACACGCCACCCACAGCCATGACGACACAGAAGAGAGGAAGAGGATGAGGGGGGAGGGGGAGGGGGAGGGAGGGGAGAGGAGGGGTCAGGGGAGGGGTTGGAGGTTGGGGGGTGGGGGGGTTGGGGTGGGGTGGGGTTGAGAGCGGTGTGCCTAATGGCCACACAGCCCCTCTGCCCCTGCCCCTGCCCCTGCCCCTGCCCCTGCCCCCTGACCCCTGACCCTTGCCACTGCCTTGT